TGACTGATGATGTGAAAAGTGTTTCACGAAACGTCTCCAATAAATAATGTTGAAATCGGTGTCTATAACTCTACTATTCTTTATAAAATGTATTCACCGTATTATCAAAAAACGAAACGATTCAGTTGTTAACACCATAAAGAAACATGGTGCCAATGTTTTACAATTATACAGACAGTTTGAAAAAGTAAAATTGAAGCAATGTCGTGCAGAACAGGCTATTGAATTCCTACGTGTGTGTCTATTATATAATGTTTATCCAAAATTCATTCGATTTAAACCTTACAATAAATCATTTGGGAAAAGTCTGAAATATAAAGAATATGTTAGAAGAATGTTATATGATCAATATAAACAGCAACAAAAAGAATTTAAGAAATTGAATCAGACAGTGAATAACATAGAATCTCAATTGAAAAACCAAGTGAACGTTTTCTTGTGGATTAGTATTAAGTCTCATTTGAATGATCTTATTCAAAAAGAAACAAATGAAATCAAACAACGCCACGAGAAAAAACATTTATCCTTGAATATCCCTATCGAATCAAATGGTTTTAACAATAAATTAGTTTATAATTATTCGTATCGTGTATTAACACCGGCAGAAGATAGTCTTCTTTCCAAAGGATGGAAATATGCCATAAGAATTAAGAAATTGAATATATTAAATGTTAAAACTGATTTAGAACACATGTATATCTGTTTGGAACGAAATGGTTTACTTAAAACAACAGAAAAGTCTAGCAAAATTAAAGGTATATTCAACGAATTCGGTAATAAACTTGGAAAGAAAATGAGCAGTGAAATACCTAATCTTTCGCTGGAAGAAACAAACGCGATCTCATCTTTATCCAATGATCCTTCTCTGGTCATATCAAAAGTCGATAAAGGCAACGCTGTGGTAGTTTTAAATAAAGAAGATTATTTATACAAAGCGTATGAAGTACTCAATGATAAAAGAGCTTTTAAGAAACTGACTAGCAACCCCACTGATCAGCGTGAGAAACAGTTTATATCATTTCTATTACAATTGATGAAAAACAATAAGATAACGGAAAATGAGTACAAAAAAATGAGACCTAAAACTGGTTCGAGAACGCCAGAGGCATACTTTCTCGTTAAAGTACACAAACAAAATTTGCCTGTTAGGCCAATTATCTCAAGTTACGATTCGTATAACTATAATACGGCTAAATATTTGGCAAACCTTCTATCACCGGCAATGAATGATGCAGCTTCTTTTATTAAAGATTCTTTTGAATTTGTGGATAAAATTCGATATAACAAAAATATAAATGGATTGATGTGCTCACTAGATGTTTCATCCCTATTCACAAATGTACCTCTGGAAAAAGCAATACCCATTGGAATTAAGAAGATTAGAGAACATCATCCAAATCTTGCGATTAACGACAAAAACTTGAAAGAACTTTTCAACTATTGCACAATGAAAACAAATTTCAAGTTTAATAACGAAAATTATGACCAACAGAATGGAGTGAGTATGGGGAGCCCCTTGGCCCCCATACTCGCGCACTTATTCATGAGTGAACTAGAAAATTGTATACAAGATCATAGAGGCAAAAAACCAGATTTATTTTACCGTTACGTTGATGACATATTCATGATTATGCATGGTAACCAAAAAGATATTCATTCATTTTTGAAATTTATGAATAAAATTGAATCTTCAATAAAATTTACAATCGAAATGCAAAACAATAACAAACTACCGTTTTTAGATGTCATGGTAGAAAGAACTAACACAGAATTAATAACGTATGTCTATCGTAAGCCGACTGACACCGGTTTATACCTACGATGGACTAGCAACCAACCTCGTAATTACAAAATAAATTTAATAAAGTGTCTATGTATACGTGCGAAACGTATTTGTTCATCGGATGCACTATTGAAACAACAATTAGAGTATTATAAAAGAATATTTACAGCTAATGGTTATCCAATTAATGTTCTAAAGAAGACGATAAGGGGTATTGAATTAGGTAAAAACATTGTTAAACAGCCAATTAATCCAAGTATTAAAAAGGTATTCATTTCAATGCCATATTATGGTGAATGTTCATTGATTTTAGCAAATAAGATTAAGAAAATATTAGATCATCCTTTGAAACAAATTGTCTGTGGCTTCGCAGCTAGAACACGTATCTCAACGTTATTTAGTGGAACATTTCGTGGACAAAAGGATATGAAAAAGGTGATCTATCGATATGATTGTAAAAATTGTAATGGCACCTATATCGGACAAACTGGCCGTGGTGTGGAAATAAGAAAAGAAGAACACAAAAAAGCTTTTCGAGGGCGGGGGTATTCAAGAATAGCTGAACATTGTATGCACTTGAATCATGAAAACAACTGGACTGATATTATTATTGCTGTTGAATCAAATTATATAAAAAGAACAATAAAAGAAAGTCTTCTCATGGACTTTGTTCGTATAAAAAAAGGTAAAGATGTTTATTCACAAAAGAGCTTTATTTTGAATGTTTTTTGATAAACATTAAAAGACACACACTTTTGGGGGGAAAAGGAAATTTGAAAATTTAGTAAAATAAATTTATTTTACTTTTTGCGTTCTGTCACACGTTGTTTTATATCTACTATAGATTGTTTAAACTAGTTTTGCTTATTGTACATTTTGACTGATGATGTGAAAAGTGTTTCACGAAACGTCTCCAATAAATAATGTTGAAATCGGTGTCTATAACTCTACTATTCTTAATAATTAATAACATTACTCCTTATTACTACTAGTAATAAGTAATAAATGTGAAAATGATAAAAGTAATAAGTAATAAAATAAAAGTTTCAACTTTATCCCTTACTACTAGTACCAAGCACTTAAAGTCCGAATAGTATTAAAATGATAAATAATAAAGCAATTAGTGATGAAAAGTAATAAATAATAAAAGTAATAATAATTATTACTTATTACCAAGTAATAGTAATAAAAAGTATTAGTAATGTAGCAGCCCTAATCTTTACCAAACGAATTACTTCTCGAGTTATTCATTTACATTGATGATTATGATATATATCTTGGATTATTTGGATTAAATATCCGTTTAAATGAGCTTATTCAGAGTCGTCGTGGTGGTTACTTATTTAATTATAAAAATATGACTACAAAGAAATTCGATCGGTTGCATCAGAATATAGGAACATTAGTTGATCATATTGAATCATTAATACTTGCCAATCATATTTTTTATTAGAAACGTTTCGTGAAACACTTTTCACATCAGCAGTCAAAATGTACAACACACAAAACAAGTTTAAACTAAGTGTGGTAAAGATAAATAAAGCGTAACAGAACGCAAAAAGTAAAACAAATTTATTTATGGACTTGTTTCGAATAAAAAAAGGCAAAGATGTTTATTCACAAAAGACCTTTAGTTTAAATGTTTTTTCTCAACATTAAAAGACACATTTTCGGGAGGAAAAGGATATGTGAAAATTTAGTAAAATATATTTATTTTACTTTTTGCGTTCTGTTACACGTTGTTTTATCTTTACTACACTAAGTTTAAACTTGTTTTGTTTATTGTACATTTTGACTGATGATGTGAAAAGTGTTTTACGAAACGTTTCTGATAAAAAATGCTCAAATCGGTGTCTCCAGCTTTTTCTATCTGGTTTTTTCTTGTACTTCTCGTTCAGGTAAGAAACGAAAAGTCGTCATAATATCATGTGTAGAGACATTTTTTTAGTCACTCACTTATGAGAATACAGTGCTTCACAATTAGTTTTAAAACATTATCTTGTGGATCTATTGCCATCTTTGTCTGAGATAATGACGATTTCGAAGCTGTTTCAAAAGATAAAAGAATTATCGCGTTTTCTGTACTGATGATTATTTCTCCGAGTTGTGAGCAAAGAATCTCACATTAGTCCGCGTAGAGCAACATATTTTACTTCAGCAAGATGTTAGAAGAGAAGGGAAGAAATCATGACTTTATGATGACTAATGGATTTTTATCATCTTGTCTATTGAGATTTAAAGATATGGATGCACAGATTAACTGGTGCAAAAGAGAGAGTAGCATTTCATTTCATTCCTTGGTTTTGCTGCTAAATTCATTGTCTTGCATTTGCTCAAATGATATTGTTTCAACATTATTTTTGTAATTTGAAGAGCATGTTCTTGCTAGATTCTAGAGTATCTTAGACAATGGGTGGTCCGGCTATAATCGATGGTAAATATCATTTGTATACGGATAATTTTCTTCCGTGTAAATTTATGGTAAACAACGTTGCGTATTGTAGTTCAGAAAATTATTTTCAATGTGCAAAAACCACTAATGCACACGATCATGAGATTGTAAGAAGATCGGGTTCAGGTATGGATTGTTGGCTGGCCGGTGCACAAATCGATCTTCGTCCAGATTGGGAACAAGTTAAAGTAAGAGAAATGTATGTGGGGAACAAGGCAAAATTTGAACAAAATTTCGACTTTGGAAAACAATTGGTTGCCACTACGGGTCTAGTTGTGTTTGGTGGATCGACGTCCTTTTGGAACAAATGGAACGGATTAATTTTAGAGAGAGTTAGAGCTGAGTTGAGACAAGATCAACAAATAGCAGAAAAAATTAAACAGTTGATGGACAAATATGAGCAAACCAATGTTAATAAGAACATCAACTTCACGCCACTAATTGCAGCATCACGTCTACAACTATTCTTTAAATTTATATCACCATTTTTAAGAAGATTATAATATTCCTTTGATTAAGATGTAATACGTTCCTGCTTACTTCTTTTGTTACTATTTTAGATCTTTGAAGTTACATAATTTTAGTTTATCAAAAAACAGAAGTCCATAGAAAAACGAATTCCCTTATCAAATAATCTAAAAGTGAAGTGTCTTTGTATTTCTCAAGAAAAGATTCCAAAATTCTGTATTTTAGGAAACGAGTGACAAGTTTCTAACACTGCTCACTCGAAAAAAAACAGCTAAAGACAACACAATCAAAAAACATTTTTTCGTGGAATGCTTTTTCTGTAAGTGACTGATATCACAGAGTGAGGAAAGAGAAGAATATTATGAAATGATCTGATATAAAAAAAACTTTAAAGCCCATCGATTCAAAAGCAGTGATATGTCCGTATTTCGTGGCTGTAAGGTGATGAACGCTTTAATTTAGAACAATCTGCTTTATTCCATTTCATATTGTAAAAAATAAAGTGTACCCGCTAGTGTGCATTGCCCCAAGTGTGCGTTTTGAGTCCAAAATGATGTGCAAATTGTCACTGTATAATCTGAATTTTTATCTTGCGTTTCTCTATGGGAAAAAAACGGAAGAATTATTTTCTTCGGTCTTTTTTCTCGTTCTGTCTATGCAAGCTATATGTGCAATTCCAGTATGTTACAGATACACTGAACAAGCCGTTTTCAGTGTGCAAAAAAACTCCAACTTCAGTGTGCCCCGGGCACACTTTATTTTTTACAGTGCAGCCAGTGTCGTACTCGATCTAAATTTATTAATCAATTAATCAATAATACATTTGTTCGACGCTTTTCATGTGTGAATGCTTGGTCGATTGATCACATTATCACATTCAAAACCTGAGTTTGCGTTAGAAGAATAGAAAGTGCAATCGAACGATGACAACTCGATGAGGCAAAGCATACCACTTTTTGGCCGTTTTGTGAAAGAAAGAATGCATACTGCTAGTACATGACACACAATGATTTAGTGTGTTGGATGCATAAAAGTGTTGTATTGAATAAGATTTATTTGTGAAATAATGGACTAATTATTAAGAATTCTTTTTATAGAAATGGAGCAATTTGAAACATTTTCGTTCGTTATACAAGTCTGATAGCTTTAATCGTTGCACTATGGATTATTAATAGAATCTATGTATCTATGTTTAGAAATATTTCAGGTGAAAATCTGCTGTTGCATATTATTCTGTATGGTGGCCCAAAAGTCGCTTTACCAGAAAAAAGTTGTATATTTCAGCCACATTTTGACCAAAGGACCGATTTATGTATAACTGATAAAGGAGTGATCATAGTTCATATTCATAAGGAAACGTTGACAAAAACTGTTTTGAAGCATCACTATTGACTTCAATAAAGAAATGCGACCCTATACCGGTTCCGAAAAACTACCATGCACATTGTGTTCTAAAAGTCACTTTCGAAAAGTAAATTCTCCATCAAATTCACCATGTTCTACCCAAGTAGGCTAATTTTTTTTCAATTATAGAGGAATGTTCCCGGTTTAATTCATTTTAGGTAGAATAAGATGTCTTACAATTTAAAGTAATGTACGGGCATAATGCTTTTTAAAACCCGTATGAGGATACAGTTTTTTTATTGAAGTCAATAATGATACTTCAAAACAGTTTCTGTCAACATTTTTCTTGTGAATATGAACTGTGATCACTCCTTTATCAGTGATAAAAAAATCAGCCCATTTAGTCAAAATATGGCGGAGATATTCAATTCTTTTTCGGTAAAGTGACTTTTGGGCCACCCTGTATAAAAAGTCTTGTCAGTAGAGCCCTGCGGGATCGGGATCGGGATAGGAGGACAAATATTTACGGGATCGGGATCGGGACCGGGATCAAGCTTACGGGACGGGATCGGGATCGGGATTTTCTTTTTCCAATTTATTGAAACTATATTCTTTATCACAAAAATAAAGTAAACAAACAAAATATCAGTTTGCTTGCTTATACATCGTTGTACAACATAAATAAAAACAATATCTCTTTAAAAGCCTACATGTCAGTGTGAAAATCAAAAAGAAAATGTATGTTCAACAGCCTAAACACTGATGTACAGAGAGAAAGACAGACGGCTAAAGCATAATTTTCTTTTCAAATCAATCGTCATCTATATCATCACTTTCAATTTGAATCTTAGATTTTTTTATTGTTACAAATAGCTGCTCATTTTCATCTAGTGGTTTTCGTTTTGACGCAGGTGTATCAACACAGTTGATACTTGACGAGACAGTTGATTCAAAAAAATTTCGGGATTTAACGGGATTGTAATTATGCCTACGGGACGGGATCGGGATTGGGATTAAGCCTACGGGACGGGATCGGGATAGGGATTAGCGAAAAGAATTTTTCGGGATCGGGACCGGGTTTCAGTCCTACGGGACGGGATCGGGATCGGGACGAAAAAACTCAATCCCGCAGGGCTCTACTTGTCAGATTCTTATGACTCGTAAAATTAATTCTTTACAAATATATTATATAAGATTGATATAATATATTTACAAAGAATTAATTGTATTTAATTGTTTTTCTTTAATGAAGGGAAAGGTTTTTCTAAATCATAAAAAGAAACAAAATAATTTTTCATATAAAGCCGTAAATGGCCTAAAACCCATCATAAATTAACGCATTTGGTTAATTTCTGATTTTAACGCCTGATAAACTCAATGCTCTTCAACGTGTTAAAACTCTTTTAATGTACTTTAACGTGTTAAAATTTCTTAAATCATGCGAACACATTGAACTTTAAGGTATTCAAATACTTTAAAGACTTTTAAGGCGTTGACACCTTTTAGTATGTTCAAAAGCATTTGAAGTAGAGATCTGCACGGGCACGATTTTTTTGCCTGTGCACTGAACGAGGCAAGCAAGACAAGATACAGGAAGTGAACAATGCCAAAGAAAGATATCAACAGCTCATAGATACAGCCAATCGTTTTGAATGTGAATGTCATACCTATCGTTATATTAGGAAGTGCCAGCGATGTTCAATTCTAGAACAAGCGAACAATATTCAAGTGCACATTTACGAATGTCCAGTACCATCTAGTCATGAGAGTTCATTGGCTGTTATTTTTGAATTACAAATGCCCATTGAAATGAGATGTTTTCGAGATATTATTTTCATATCATTCGAATCTATAGACGACAGTAGCACTTCAATTTTATTCAATCGTCGCACAATTCTTCGAATGCAATGCACCAATAAATCGGTCGAACTGTGCCGTGTGAAAATGATATGTGTCAGAGAAGAAGTGATCAACAATTTATAAATAATGTGACCAATGCTTCCCAAACGTTTGATTAAAATCGTATAAAGGACTACTTTGATGGTCATCCATAAACCGGTCGTCGAAAAGGCAATTTAACACTATTCCATCGGATATGATCACGATGTTTTTTCTTAAATCGATAGCAGGGATCAGAATTGTTTTCGATTTTTATTCCTTGAAGCTGTATGATCCACCATTCGCACACTTAATGTGCTATTGGTACGTCACGTATTTCGTTGAATGAGTAAGATGATTTAAAAGATTTTGAACATTCAATTGTATTGTTCATGAAATCGACCGGCAATTCACAATGGACTCGAGAGCTCAGCTGAGTTCTATCGGACAATCGGAATGTTGGCACAGGAAAGCAGGAAAGATGAGGTTCTAGAGAAGAGGTTATTGTTTCTGTTGGTAATAAAACTTGCCACGATGAGACCAACGGGCGATTAGGGGAATTTTCATCGATTTCAATCAAAATTGCAGCATTTTGAGCATGAAATAGAGCGAAAGAAAATCTCCTGGTGCTAGTTGCTCAATGGTCAATTCTAAATTCGATACAGAACAATTTTATGGATTCTATATGACCGACCAACGTTGAATGCAATTAATCAGAGTCAAAAAAGTCGGTAATGCCAATTTTTTTTCTAATGACTTGAGGCATTCTGTTATACATTCCAGTAAAACAAATAAAACATCAAAAAGCAGACGCAGAAAAGTAAATATGTTGGAGAAACGAAATAAGAATAACGAAGAAAAGTAAGATACGAAAAAGGTTTGAAAAAGAGTAAAGGAGAAAACGATTCATGACTTAACAACATAACAGTCGAATGTCTAAATTCGAAAGATAGAACACGTAAGAAGTCAGAGCGACATTATTCTCCTCACATCTACACTAGTGAACGAAGAATCTATGGTACGTTCGTTGCCAAATTCGATAGGATTTGATGTGAGCAAAAGTGACTCGATAGAACCTTTCCAGAAAGCTAAGCTCGTATTTCTGATTGAGAATCTGCAAAAATTATTTGGTGCCCTTATTGAACTTTCAAAATACGTTCACAACTAGCGCAAAAATAATGCCGACCGAGCGCCACCTCGAAAAACGTTGTCATTTATATCTGAACGACATCGAATAGTTTTGGAAGATTTTCAATCGGAAAAGTTGAGTTTGCAGGCATAAAACGCAAGTAACCGATATGAAGAACAAATATTGATTCATCGAGCTATTAATATTTGTTCTTCATATCGGTTACTTGATGATGAATTAAATAACATTAGAGATACAGCAATAAAATATGGTTATCCAATCTCTTTTGTTGATAAATTAATCGGCATGAAACTTTTCGACGTTCATTTTCATTATCAGTATACGTCTCTCGAGCACAAGCAGTTCTCCTCGATCAGCTGTTGTGTTCACATTCGCAGAAGAACTTCAATGAATAACGGAAACCACAAAAAATCTCCGCTTGTTTCTATCGACGATTTCTCCTGCGAGGATAAAGAAGAAGAAGAATTACTAAAGAATAAATAATTGAGCATACGACTGCTACGAAATACATATTAGAATTTTTCTAAATTCACTACCATTTTATTCGATCTTTCGATGAGTCTCTGTCACCATCGTCAGGAAACAAAATGACAAGAAGAATGCACTGTTCTAATTATTGCAAAAAGAAAAATGTGTCTTTTACATATGTTCGCGAACATTCTTGTCATTTCGTGACGATTATGACAGTAACTCATCGAAAGATCGAATAAAATGATAGTGAATTTAGAAAAATTCTAATATGTATTTCGTAGCAGTCATATAGTCAATTATTTATTCTTTAGTAAAAACTGCTTTACCAAAATCGTTCTAAGAAGAATTACTGTCATAAATCGATATCGGTTTCGATGTCATTGCGTTAGTTCTTTCACGAGCGTTTTGATCAGCAGAAATGTTTTTGGCCAATTCATCTGGACTTGTTAACGCCGAGCATACCTGAAACGCGAAACAACGTTAAAAATCAATTTGGCAGGGACGATTTTGAAAGAATCTGATTTCTTACTTTCCGATATTTCGAGGCCCATATTTCATGTGTTTGTTTGTCTCGACAATACACATAAATCGCTGAGATTTCAGGCAGGTCGTCTGTTATGAGAATCGCTTCACGTCCAAGCATTCCGGAAACAATAAAAATAATTTTATCATCTTGTGCTTGACGCCGACTCACCCGCTGTTCACATTGGCTAACATTATCAAATGTTTTAACGTACACTGTTATTTGGAATTATTTTCTATTTTATAGAAAATCGATTTTGAAAATCGCCAAGGATTTTCCAACCTTTGTAAAATCCTCAGCGATTTTCTGACTGTTTAGAAAATGTTGATTTTCTACTTTATAGAAAATCCGCTGGATTTTCTGTGAATTGACTTTTCTCATTTGTCAGAAAATCGATAAGGAATTTCTAAATAGTTGGAAAATCGACAGCGATTTTCTATAAATAATTGCCAACATTGCAGAAAACCGACTCAATTTTTCAGATAAATAAATCCCAACCCAGGTTAAAGAATCCTACGGTAGGATCCTGTAGGATCTTATAGGATTTTTTGCAAGATTTGTGTAGGATTCTATAGGATTTCATAGGATTTCTCAATGTCAATGTTTTCTACAGGATCCTACCATAGGATTTGTAGGAAGCATTGGCTTTAAGAAATCCTATAGGATCGCATAGGACTTTGTAGGATCCTAGTAGGATCTTTTAACCTGGGAACATTCTTAGAATTCGATAGCGATTTTCGAAGAAGTTCAATCGGTCCTTTTTTTCTCGCTTCTTTCACATTTATCAAAGCCTTCATTGCAACAAGTTATCCTGTAACAGATCTCTGCCCCTTTTAGTATTTAACATCGGAAATGTTAATAGATTCGGAAAACTCTCTCAGTTTTTGCAAATCAGCATATTCTTCGAGAAGTATTATTGTTATACAACACTTAGAGATCACAAAGAGGTACTGAAAAGGTTCTTGGGTTAGGCCTGGTTACGACAATGTCGAGTTCCACCACAACTTTCCGAAGATCGCAAAGCGATTCGCTCTTGCTAATATTCCTCATGTTTATTTCTGAGTTTAGCATCTTCCGAAAATGTAGTTGGTTCTATCAACTCAAAGACATGGTCCTATCAATTCACATTTATTTTCTTTATTTTTTAAATAAAATAACAGTCGTTCAACACGCGATCAATGTTGAATTTGTTTTTCATTATTAAAAGAGGGCTACTAGTAGAGGTCTGCGGGACCAAACATTTTTGGTCCCGGTCCCGTGAACAAAAAAAGTTTTAGTCCCGGTCCCGGTCCCGTG